AATGTTAAATATTTTGATAAGAATGGAATAATTCTTCCTATCAATGCATTCTGTGAAGTCAGATCCGTCTGCACTCGACGGTTAATAAGTGTACTTTACCTACTGATTGTGAAAAGCAAACTGTCGTTTTCACGCCTTGTCCGGGCTCTTTTTGAAAATTTTATTTCGAAATTTGCCTCTCTAAAATGAAATAATTTCTCTCAAGCTTCACCTAGATTCAGGATTTTGACAATTTAGGGTATTTTTTCTGTTCCGTTTCCAATAGGGCGCCTCAGCGGCAAATTGTTCATTAGTTTCTCCCTCACTTTTATTTTCGGTTTAGCACGAACTTCCTGATTATGAATGCCACTGCATTGTGCAGAATATAAAATCATGTGATTTAATAAATTTTCGATATGGAAGCATCAATTATGTTTGGATGAAATTAGTGATTGGTTGTTACGATGAAAGCTCCAATTGGCCCTAGGAAAAATAACTTGATAGGATTTGGGACTCCGGATTCGAAATACAAGTTGAAAAAAAAAGAATTGGACCAGGAAGTAAGAGATTTAGGATTCGTTCCTTTTTTTTCGAATAAATTTGGCTCACAGCGCATTATGTTAGTCCAAAGCTCTTTCTCGCACGTATACCCCATTTATAGCGCTTCATTAGATCCCAGTATTTTAACATTCGTTCAATTGTTAGAGGTGGTAGTAAGGTTATACTTTCTCATAAAGTCAAAGACGTGGCGACTTTGGAAGGAATTCAAAGCAGTTTTCATAGATATTTAATTCTAAAAGTATTTGGACCAAGGTGCTCGGTAATCCCTAGCGATGAAACACAGTAACTTATTCTTTTTGCCTCAGTTAAAGGCAGGCACTAGGAGGAAATGTTTTGGTTTTCCAATGGCTTTCAACGTTTTCAGTGGAAGTTGTGAAGATTCTTATTTTCATCTTACTTTTAATCTCATCTAGTACCTGCTCTATTGAGACAATTATCTGTTCCTGCCTAAACTTATTACAAATCTAATTTTCTTAAACTCTTGTTTTCTACAAGTTAATGAGATAAATGCAAAAAATATGGAACACTTAGAACTTTTACAAATTTAGCCATCTGATCAGCTTGAGTTACATTTTTAGATTATCTCTTACGTAGATTCC